CAATTTTTAAAACATTTATTTAGAAAAATACATTGTGGTCACTGAGATTCATACATGTTGAGCACGACGTCGTTGTTCGGCAATAAAATCTCTGCCTCCGCCACCGGTTGCCACCTGAATTTCACTTGGTATTATTTCCAAGCATTCCCCGACTTATGCCGCACTTTCCAATTTTCAGCCGTTCTTTTCTATACAAATTACTTGGATTTTACTTCACACTCCTAGCCAGTTTTCATGGATTTCACTTTCAATTTATCATGAAAAACTTTGCGGCTAACCTTCTCTCTTTTATGTAAATTTTTCCTCAAAATCTTTACAACCATTATAATTATTTAATTGTCACAAACGTAGTGTTTCCCAGGTCTAATATCCAGTGTGGATGAAAACACGGTAATAGGTGCGCTGTCGAACCATCTAAAACTTTTGACTCATCAAGAAAGGATGACGGTTCGAAGTGGCAATATACTATGAGACCTAATCTGCTGGACGTAGTTTTGTAGTTTTGGACGCTTATCTCGAATCCGCTTTCCAAATCTGCCAACCGATTCCCTGAACGGAAAAAAGTGGGCCGGGTTCACGGGCGAGCAACGGTCTTCCTCGAACACGTTGTGCATTACCGTTATTTTTACCCACCCTGTATATGGACAGTTTTGAAGTATGAAAAATGCCAGATGAATCAACAAAACGAGAACACGCGCGGGAATGTGACGCGCATGCGTGTCACGCTGCCATCTGCGTGTTAATTTCCCTTATACCTTTCTTTAATAGTTAAGTAACCAAAGGAATAAATAAAAATAGCAGGTCAAATAAAAAAGTGCTTTTGAATACCATAGATAATTTCCAGAAAAAATTACTGGACGTAATACTTAGACGTACAAACAAAACGCCACGATATTATTAACCTAATATTCATTAGCAAAATAAACCAACCTCATTATTCTTCCAAGATAGGAATTTCAGATAGCAGTCAAATCCATAGGCGCACATCGCACCAAACGCGAAAAACTATAAAAACTTTACAATGGATATTGCCACGCTCAAGATAAAAGCTAGAGTTCAATGATCACGTATGCGGTTGTCACCATACTTATGGCAGTAGATCAGGATAAAAGTCCTATTCAGCAAAGGGGTGTAGTGCGACAATTCACATCACCAAAGTATTTCAATTTTGCAGGAAAAGAAGCCTGGGTGGATGTGAAAGGGGAAGCTGAACTTCAAGCACCTCGAATGTTCCCTCCTACCCTCTCGTAAAATAGGAGTTTTCGTAAGCGGCAACAACCGTCGCATCACGTGCCCCTCCCTCATCCAAAAGGAAGACGCCAAAATTTCCCTGATTTGTGCCTGCCTCAATTGTAAATTGAATAACGCCGAGCAAAAGTGACCATAGCTCAACAACTGACCGCTGCCACCGCCCATCCACCAGTTGCTGTGAAACGTGCCGCAGCCACTGCTAGTACACATGCTGCTATGAAGAAGAAAATCGTCCATGCAAAGCAGAAGCACATCTCCTGGAAAAAAAAAATCTTTTAAAAAAAAACCCAAAAAAAACCATCCTTTTTAATTCGAAATAAAAATCAAGATTAAGAGTCGAATTAAAAATAGCTCATTTCCGTTGAGTTGTTTAAATACAAACTTCTTCTGAAATTATGTCAGCCTTAGCCTAACACCGGCCGCGACCAAAAGCGCACACCACTTAATAGGCCCAACGACAACGGTGACAACTTTGGCCTTAAAGCAACAATCCAGGAACGAATTCGCGGGTAAGGACCACCTATAATGACGTTGCAGGTGAGAAGTTGGTCAATGGAGAAAGAAAAAGTAGAAAAAAACGTCGGGCAGGGGCTTAGACAGGGACTCCCCCTGCCGTTTAGGGAGACGTGTGTTGGACGAGTTGTCCGAACCTGCCCGTAGTACATGCGCTCCAATTGCAACTGCTGGCAAATAGCCATGCATGCTTGCAAATACATAACTATTTGCCAGCAATCGAAATTGAAGCGCTTCAATTGCGTTCTTATGGAATCGACCTCATACAGCGCGGCGGTCCCGCAACGACCGCTAGTCAAGCACGGACGCTCTGCACAGCGTATGTTGGGCGATCCGCCTCTTTATGGGTGATCCGCCCCCTCCAAGAGGACTTCGACCCCTTCCAGCGCATTTTAGAGGTAGGTTTTGAAATTAAAGACATTTCCTATAAACTTTAGTTGGGCTGGGGCATGTTTTGACCGCCTAATGACCAAGTAGTTGAAACCCTGCCTGGACTGTTGCTTTAAGGAGTGATCCAGGAAGGAAAGTATAGAGCAAGCTGGGCAGTAGCAATTAGCCTGCTACTTGGCGTGCCCAACGCAACGCAACAATTGTTGCTTTTTGCAGCATCAATAACTTTTAAAACACTATTCCCGCTAAAAATTAAAAAGAAGTTCTATTCAGCGTCCTAAGGGCAAAGAAGTATGGCAATTCCTTTCAGCGCTCATCTACACTTGCTTAGGTTTAGTACCCTAATTACAAAGATGACATTGATTGTGGACGCTAGACCCCTCTTCCCGCACAGCTTGGTACCAGTTTGGAAAGGGCGTCCAGCTAGCGTCAGGCCGGTGTCGAACTTAATTCAAGCGAGTTTCGCCTGCGAATTGTGAGAGGGTATGAGACTCGGGAACTTGCACGAGATCAACGTGAGACTTTCGAAGCAATTGTCGAGTCGGCTGGTACATCGTCGAAGACCGACTGTACCCAACCTCGATTCGCTTGTGCAGCCCCGCGCCGCCCTCGTATCCGTGTTTCGTTACGGAATCGCTTGGATTCACAAAGTCTGACACCGGCGTCAAATGGCATCAGCGCCAAGGATGACATATTCGTAATAAGGGCAGTGACATACCGGTAAATTTGAATTTTAAATGAATTCAGTGGAAAGAAAAAGTGGCAGTGCATATAGCACGCCAAATGGCGCCATCGTTAAAAATGAACATTATTAGGATCACCAACAACACCTTCGCCGTAAAAATTATTTTCTGCCTCGTCCCTGAGGCTGCACGAGGTTTGAATATCTCTATTGATATTTTAAAAAATGTTAAAAATCAATAGTCAAAAAAATACCCCAACTATCCATGGCACTTGAGGAAGAGCATCAACCACTCGAAACAGGTAAAGAAACAACAATGTGGTGCTTACACAAAGACCGACAGATGAGACAAAAGTTGCCCATCCAGCACCTGAAATTCTGGCTGATTGATAAAATTAACTTGCCTTGTCAAAAACGGTTCAAAATCATCGTTAAATTTATACAAAACTTGTTAGGATGGTTGAAAAAAGCACCACGCAAACATATAGAAGTCAGCATCTACGCCTATGAAGCCCCAAAGAATTTCGTAAATTGTGGCCTTCTGCTCATTCAAAAATTTGAAAAACAGGCAAAATTAAATAAAAACATAAGCGTAATGATATAAATAGTCAAGGATGGTTCAACGGCTGGAGCCGTGTCTTATTTGTGGCCATTCCTAAAGAATCAAAGTCATATCTCAATCTCCGCCGCTTGCCAGGGTTTTATTCAATAATAGCACAGGATGTGAAAGAATCAAAAAAGTCAGGCTTGGAACAACTAAGCCATTGTTTGAGCAATGAGCTCTCAAATGCTACTACGTGTTCAGAAAAGAGGTCGAATGCGTGGCGCATCCTGAATAGACCGAACTGCAGAAGAAGTAATCAATCGATTAATTCATAGATGCTGACTTCTCGTTGTTGGACGAGAGATGATGGACAACCTTTCTCTAGCAGTGCCATCCTCTCCCTTTCTTTCCATGATCGAGGACGAAGCTCACTGACAGGGTGCTCTACAATAAAACTAGACTCTTGCTGTGTCATGCTCAGTAGATAGATGTGAAAAGCTATAAGCAGGGATATGATCGAAGATGAACCAAACGCGACTAAATTATGGGAACAGGATTGCAAGCAGAGGGGAATTCGCTGGCATGTGTGACAAGAGGTCACCGCGCGACGTCGCGGACCTACTTCTGCCGCATCTTGTATGGATGTGATAAAAGCACACGACTCGAGCCATTCCGCCCACTTTTTTGGAAAATTGAGACTGAGTATATTGCGACTCTGCGCAGAGACCATTTTATTACATCAATCCTTCGCTATAAAAAAAGAAATAATGACAAGTAATATATTGGGATTGAAAAACGAATTCTCGCTAGATGAATTACAATTCTTTAAAGAAAAGCCGTCGGCTAATCTCCGCAACAATCTTTAAAGCGTGACACCCAACTAAACAAAAAAAATCAAAACAAACAAACAAAAAAAAGAAAAAAAGGAAACGCGATCGCTGCAATGCCAATTTCCTAATTTAGGAGAAAATGCACCACTCAACTGACAACGACCATGAAACTGAGGATCTCTGGCTGAGCATCTCCGTGAAAGTTGTTCGAGCCCTAGTTATCACAACTGTGACAGTAAATTTTGTAGCAAAATATTCTGTCGTTACATATTACCGCCGGCACCCGCAAAAATTATGGTTCTAATACAGGGTGTCTTCGGGCAAACCAAGCTTTTCAAAACGGTTTTTTGCATATTGTAGGGATGCATGTAGGGAACACAAAAACCATGTTTCGTTTTCGCTGAACGGTTTTAGTAGTATCAAAAGATACCTTGATGGTTCGATCCCCGGCGGCGACTAAATTTTGCATTTGGGTTGGCGCCTACCGATTGTTGCCAAATCGACTAAATGTCAGAAATCAGATGTCATATTTATCGTCAGGACCATTTTGAAGCAACGGTCCCAACCCATATCGTTGTTACTCCTTGGAAATTTTTACGACCCCCCCCCTTCATGGGTGATTTGATACGACCCCCCCCCCTTGTATGTGACACTTGTGTAGAGACAGTGTTTACCATCAATATTTATTTCTACGTAAGTCATCAAAGATGAAACTTTAGCAAAATCCACGACAGATATTCATCGCTGCTTCCAAACACGAAAAAATGAGATGCATTCAAAGATATCCGTGTACTCCAAAGGGTTACCAAACGTTCCTGAAAGATCAGTAGTTCAAAAATTAGTCCCGTTGTTACTTTTTTGGGGGTTTGCGTTACTATTTTTTGGAACCGCGACTTTTTTACCTTCAAACGATCATAACTTCCTTCAAAGTCATTCATTTGGGAAGCTGAACACGGTATAATAAACTACAGGTTTCAAGCTTTCTAACGAGCACCCAAGCGTTCCTGAAAGATCAGCAGTTCAAAAATTAGTCCCGTTGTTACTTTTTATTTTGAGGGGTATTCTTCAAGCCATTTTCTCGAAAACGCGAGTTTTCTTAGGTTTCACTGCCCGTAACTTCTTGGAAGACCAATTTTATGTTTAATTTAGGATGTGCTAGAAAGCTCCGAGCATGCGCTTGCACTACATCCCTTGCCTTGGTGCGCGCCACGCCTCGGGCGCCCTTCTAATTCGCTGATTCATTTGAAAGCTCATTTAGAGGGAATCGTGGTTTATAGATGCTCTAGTATCAGTCATCTTACGAAAACGTAACGTGCTGGCTATTATCCGATATTACCAAGAATCCCACTGTCGGCCACCGAGAGGGTACGACCCCCCTCCCTCCAAGCTCAACTGAGTACGACCCCCCCGTTGTTACTCGTAACAACGTAGGGTTGACCCTGCTTGGAGTCAACATGTGGCCGTCAACCTTGATTGCAAAATTAGTCGCCGCGGGGATCGAACCATCAAGGGTATCATTCACCACTTTTTTGATACTAAAACCGTTCAGCGAAAACGAAACATGGTTTTGTGGTCCATACATGCGTCCCTACAATATGCAAGAAACCGTTTCCAAAAGCGCGGCTTGCCCTGAAAGACCTCCCTTGGTAAGGCTATGTCGAGAGGTCCGGCTGATCGCTGTTGGCGCGATTTCTGCAGATTTTTCGCAAGATTGCGGCGAATTTTTGCGCTTGTTCGCGAAAGCTGGCGAGTGATTTTTCACCGAAGGAGGTGTGGAAGTGGCCCGTGAATCCTGCGAATTCTGCTTGGCAGTAAAGATTGGAAGACGAATGTTTGTGGTTCTACTTGTTTCATGTTCAATGTCTATTAGTTCATTGAAATGCTCTTGAATCGTTCCTATTTTTTTTCAGGAATCAAACCAAACCAATCACAAAAATTGCAAGTGCCCCATTTGAACAATTGAAACACTGGATATGAAACAAGTGGAATCATGAGCAGTCTCCATTAAACCATAACCATCAAGCAGAAGTGACGGCGGGATTGGAGAACACCTTGCAGTATGGATGGGGCACTTGTAATTTCCGTGACCCGTCGCGCAAATCGCGAAAATCGCGAAAATCGCGCAAATCGCGAAATCGCGAAAATCGCGAAAATCGCGAAAATCGCGAAAATCGCGCAAAATCGCGAAATCGCGCAAATCGCGAAAATCGCGAAAATCGCGAAATCGCGAAAAATCGCGAAAAAAAATCGCGGACTCTGACACCAGCCTAAGCGTTGAACGTAGAGTTGAAAAAGCTGAATGCAATTTAGGTGAAGGAATAGAAGAAGCACGAAGCAAGAGTCGCAAAGTCTTTAGAAAAAAAATGCTTGACACTAGAGGACTGCTAAGCGAAAACTCGTACCACAGGAGCGGAATATCCGTGTTCCATGAATACTGCAAACACTTTTCTTATCTTGTAACTCCTCGTAAAGTGGACTTATCTTCAAGTGGTCACACACTATTCTTGGTCTGTCCTCAAGATGTTGAATGGAATGACATTTATTCGATAAGTCTCCCTGACGCTGTGAGTATGGCTTCCAGTTGCTCCAAACGCAACTCTGGTGTTTCCCGCAGGACATACTGGAGTTCCTTCTTCGTAAATTCTAGAGAAAAGGCTTCAGCTCCTCTGTTTGGATGCATTATTTAGTGCAGGCCCTGTCCCCTATATAGCCCAAATAGGATGGTCCAGCAGGTTGAAATCGAGAGATATGAGAGCCATTTGTTTGAGGATGTGAAATCGGGGAACAGCATCATGAGATCAGTCCAAAACAAATTTTGCCCCTTATGCAGAAGCTGGTTAATTTGAAAAAAAATGTCATCCCTCCTTGGAGAAGCTAGATACCTTAGCAACGAATGGTGCACTGAAGGATTCCTTAGTTAGGTCTGTATCGAGTTCCATTCGCTTTTCAACAGACAGTTGTGGTGAGAGACCGGTGATTGAGACCCTTGCCCAAATCGTGATAAAGATTGGCTGGTGCTTGTGGCGAATATTTCTTTCACACTCACAAGCTTCCACATGACTCATGCGAGCAACCTCGAAGTTTGTAGATTGTAGCTCTGCTCCATGTGAGGAATTTGTCGTCGATGAAAACGGTGCCCGCGCGATCGCCGTTTTCGGCCCTCGACACCAGCTCTTTGAACTTTTTGTCTCTGCTGTGCTCCTCCCGTAGGATTGAGCAGTGGTGCTTATGCAGCTTATAATGGACTGTGAGCGGTTGTTATCTGACCACTCTCTACATAACTGTGTTTGGAAACTCCAGCGTTCTGGTCACCTTTCTCGAGCCACCCGGGTATTGCAGTCGTTTCGCTTGTTTCATGCTTTTCCTGAGATCCAAGATGTCAGAACTTGTGGGGCGGCCGCAACAAAGACTGCTTCCATTGGTCTTCTCTTCAGTACACGGTAGGCCAAGGAGCGGTTGAAAATCCAAAGAAGCGCGATGTTAATCACCGGATGTCCGACCTAACTGTATGAAGGATTAGGACCTCTCTTGATGTTTAGGTGCACCATGAGATGTGCAACGAATGGCAAGCCGTGCACTTCGGCAAGGTTATTCACAAGTGGTCATAGGAAGTGAAGGTATGCCAACCTTGGGAAAAGGACTACAGACACCCACACAATAGAAGCTCAAAATGTGTTGCAGTATTTATGGAACACCCTGTATAATAGGTTGAATCCCACAAATTTTCTTGCCTATTGATTCCTACTTAAATATCCCGTTGCGCATTTGAGCTTCTGAAACATCCTGGTTGAAGGTCCTGATGTGTTCTTCAACATATCAACTTATTTCGATATGAAGTTAATTTGACATATTGAAAATTGAATTTGAACCAAAATCGGCCAGAAATTATGGATCACCCAATATTAACACACGTTGACGACAGGCTGACGCGCATGCGCGTCAGAAATTTGCACCGCATCGGACATTCTGACGCGCATGCGCGTCAGAACTATGTCATTCATTTTTATTGTGCTTGCGCTCCTTCTTCTCGAGTTTTCTTGCATTCATTCTATAGATAATACATTAGCATAACTATAAACCACATGGCAGCCAGAGTGGTCAAATATCCCTTGATTTAGCAAGATTTTCTGAACGCACAAAACTTTCATTCAATTCTTTCCTAGTATTCCTTTCACTGTCGTAAACATTCATATGAAAGATTGTAGAAGCAGTTAATACAAAACTCTGTGAGTTTCAAGATATTTGTATTTGATGGAAGAACTTAGGTATAAATGCTTTTAACTTCATTCGCAGCGAAAGTGATGTTTTTTGCTTCTTCGTGGTCATTATGCGTTCTTCTAAACAAAAATCTACTGCCATTTATATAGTAACCTTTATGCTTTCATCCTTGCCGAAATAATTTCTATTCGAGTTGTTGTGCATTTTAAACAAAAAATAAGCGGAAATAAGGTGAGGACGGCGCGCTTCTGCAAAAATCGCTTCGAGTGTCCGGGTGGCAAAAATGCCAAAAACACAATTACGTCAACGTGGTAATGGTAAAATCCAACTGATGAAAAGCATTAAATTAACATGTATAACATCTAGATAGTGACAATTGTATAAATCACTGGAATTGATTTTTTTCTTATATCTCACCTGAGTTGAAAAATGAACTTCAAAAATATGTGACCCAAAGGAATTTGTGTGCTATTCCGCTCCAAAATCAACAAGAGAAGCGAAAAGGGACCATCATAAGTAATTAAAGCAAAGGAACTATGAAAAACTACATAAATAACCTCCATTTCTTTTGAGGTCGATCGTGTTAACGATGGAATGACACAGCGCAGCGAGGAGAAGAAATACGCGAGAGAGAAGGTCGTACGAGACAGACATTGTGCATGCTGCGAGCGAGTAAAAT